AGGAGGAGGAAGAAGAAAAGTAAGACGAGGTTGGCTGAATTGAAGGAGGGACGTGATGTTTAGTTTGGCAATGAAGCGAGGATTCGTGGCAGAAGGAAAATTTTCAAGAAATAAATCTCGCCCCTTTACGATGTTGTCATTGCGTCTGATATTCCTCTCGGATCCGATCTATTCCCCTTCGGATAACGATATCGCCCATCCAAAAATATATCTCGCCTCGTTGTGAATAAATGGATAAATGGAAATTGACCGATGATTAAAACGTGTATATCTGTATATAGCTCGTATATTCAACATATAATTATGGACGTATAACAAACGTACACGCAGAGAAAAAAATCAAAATCTCTTGAAAAGTATTTTTCAACCTATTTTCGAAGGAAGGAAGTTGCATCCTCCTTTTTTAATATTCAAAATACTTGAAATTCTCTTTCTACATAAAGAAAATTTAAAAAGCAAATATGCTTTTATGATAACGAAGTGATATTGGTCTTGAGTTAATTAACGAAGGAATTAGTTAAATATGACCCTTTGAAAAAGGGTTTAACACAATAATACGATAATGTTATTATAATCACGAATAAATGTAAAAACAAAACTTTTTTCCTAAAATATTTCAGTTAATTAAGCTTTAAAATTGTGATGCATTTAGGCATCTCTTATTCCCAATCTTTGATATCATCAGATTCCAGTGATCTAAATGCAATGATAAATAGATGCGACTTTTTCCATGACTTGAAAAAGAAAAAAAAAAAAGAAGAACGGAATAGATATTGAAATAAGTTAGGAAAAATACTCAGCTATTAATAAAGATGAAGTCGTAGGAACGGCGATGACGAAGACAAACGGTCGTTAATTCCATTCAACATTTTACCATGGCGGAATAATTAGAATTAATGTACTCGGCGACATTAATGGAATATGTACGATCTTGCGACTAAATGTCGTTTAACAATGGAAAGGCCAATCGGCCGAAAATGAATAATTCGAAATTGTTGCTTTCGTAAACAGATATCTATTAATTTTTTTGGAAAAAAATTGAATCATCTCTACAAAATCTCTCGATAAATATACATATATATTAGACTTACGAAATTTTCTTCAAACGTTGGACGAATGATTTTTCCAAAGTGGTTCTTTTCATTACAAACCTATACCCCTCACCGACTTCACCTTTCGGTTTCTCGGTGGGATCGGAGTCGGCCACCATCCCATTATTTGCGATAATCCCTTTGCCTACTTCGCACTCAGGTAGTCTTACCTCGATTTGCCACCTGTTTACAGTCAACTACGTCCCATAAATCTATCTAAAGCGAGAAGTACCCGTAATAATCGACGTCATTCGTACAACATACAACATCGTAATTTATGTTTAGAAAACGGAGGAGATAGAAATAGATACATCTTTCCAATTATTATTTACTATGTCCACCAATCTTGGTCCACAATTACGCAACTATTGCAGATAGATTTCCAGATAGAATTCTTCATTTCTCTATCCTCGTGAAGAAAAGAATAATATCAATACCAATTAACCAAAAAAAAAAAAAGAAAGAAAGAAAGAAGGAAAAGAGAATGAAATTACTTGCCCTGGAATAAGCAGATACGGAGGAGAGAAGAGCGTGCAATTTCTTCGGCAACTCTCGTTACACACGGGGTTATGGTTACTGCGACGAATGCTTGTCCCACGAGACGGAAATGGCGCACGATCGCGCCCGTTGAATAACGGGCAATTTTATCACTGGGAGTGGATTATGAGTCCTCTCTCTCTCTCTCTTTCTGGCGAAGATTAGGCTGGGGAGGAGGGCAAAATATCGTGTGTGGAGGGTATTTACGAGGAGGTCGCGGCGCGAGCCGAGTTATCCACGAAAGTCAGGTTACGGCTGCCTCCCCTTGCCTTGTTATCTTATTGTATTGTTAGTACGCCACGATGCGCCGTCTTGGAGCAGGTTTTCTCCCCCTTTACCTTCGCGTCCTTCTCTCCCTTTCGCGACGGCCCTCGCTCCCTTCTCTTGCTTTGTCATCGCCGCTTCTTCTCCTTGCCCCTCTCCTCCCCCCTTCCTGGCCCACTCGACCCTTTCCTCTTGCGCAGCGCTCGCCTCGCAACTACCGTCTTTCCAGCTTTAAACACTCGCGCCTATGAGCTCTGTGTAATTAAAAATCTCTTGCTTCGTTCGATGAAACGAAGATATTTCTATTTCTGAAAAGAAACGAAAGGGAAAAGACACGATCTTCCGTTCTTTCTTTTTCTTTCTTCCGTCCCTCCCCTCCCCCTCCGTCTTAATTTATTTCCTCCAAAAGTGATGCCCGTTTTCAAAGTTTTAACCCGCTATTTCGCGTCGTTGCCGTGTAATATTTTATGCAAGTAGTTTAAAGGGAAGTAGGAAACAGATGATCAGATAGGTGGAGGATAAGTAGAGGAAGAAAGAAAGAAAGAAAGAAAGAAAGAAAGAAAGAGGAGGAGGAGGAGAACAGGGATAGGTGTAGAGCTGGCAAACGAGATGGACACGCGTTGCCCAGAAGAGAACGAGAGGAGACGAACTGTCTTCATTATGCTAATGCCGTGCAAGCACAGCTGACCGTGGCCAAAAATAGATGTAGATATCGTGGGATGCTGAGTCGAACCTCGAGGGGGTTTTTATCCTCTCCTCTCCCTCTCTCTTCATTCGGCGCGGCGTTATGCTTGTTTCTCGTTTCTCGATTCGAAAGATTCCCTCCCACGGACCTGGAATGAAATGGTTCAACCGAGGGGTTGAAGATCGAATCGCTCTCTTCCTATTCCTACTTTACACCGTTGAAAATTTCCTTTTTTTTTTTATTTCCACCCCTCCTATCCAGCTCTGGATCGTACTCTCTTCCTTCTTTTTTTTTTTTTTTTTTGGTGTAAAAAGCCGCGCTCATTAGCTTCACCTTTGGTACAGGGGTACAATGGTCCAGAGGGAAAGTTTCCTTTTCAAAAAAACCAATGACTGGTTACGTAACGATGCTTGTTCTTTCAGGAACGCTGTCAAAACCAGTGGTCAGGGTCGTAAAATCGTTCACTTTCCGATTTAACGATGTTTGGATGGAGACCGAGGTTCGTTTGAAAAATATTATTGATCGATTTTTTTATAAAGTAAATCGATATAAGAATATATTTTATTCATTCGTGTCTTTCATTCAATTAGATCTGAGCAACCGGTTTAATATTAGAAGAATTAGGAACGTGAATCGCATACTCTGTAATCTTTCTTCGTGTTATTTTTTCTGGGAATATCTGGGATTAATCCCTTTTTATCGCGTTACAAACCGAAATTGCACTTGTTTATTGACTCGTCTAAAATTAGCTGACACCGTGTTCGCAATAGACCGAACCGCATTTCCGTTTTACATCCCGTTTACGTGGTTTGTGGTTACGTTGATACCGTTGTTACCGGAGGAAACGCGTGGCTCCATTAACAATCTTCCTTCGTTATCTTTTCGTTAAATTGTGAGGAGGTTGCACGATATTACACCGTCCAGTGTCCATAAAACAATACGCAGTGTAAAACCTGGTTGCAATGGCCAGCATGTGTGCATTAACGCGAAACCGAATCACGCTCGTATACGCGGATAGTAGCGGTGAAACGACATTCGTACAGCTTACCTTAGCTCCACCTGAAACGCCTAAAAGGGAAAAGAAATAATCCCCGAGACTTTAACGGTGTTGTCCCTGTGACATTTTATCCTTCGTGGATACTTGGAATATTTCACAAAAGTTATATACAATCGGATATTCGAATAAATTTTGTCGCGTGATGCTACCTCAAATGGGGACCCCCTCGTATTTCCGGTAACGCGGTGTGTCAGTTGGAGAGAAGAGAAGCGACGGATACGGGCGGGATGAAAAAGATGGCAGCGGACTGGTTGTAAGGGAAAAAAAAAGGAGGAGGAGGAGGAGGAGAAGCTAGAGTAATGTAGCGAGTCAGCAGTTTTTGTTAAAAATTTATTCGGTTCAGTTTCATGAGAAATATCACCTCGTACCCCCTCGACGTTCCGTATCACACCTCAGCGGCTGCCACGGATCCCGCTCACAGCCTCTGCGTTCCACAACCCACCCCCCGTTCGAGCGCGTTCTTCTATCTCTTCTCTTTCTTACTTTTATGTACACGTACGGGTATACCTGACTTCGTACGATATATATACCGCCGTTGGAACAGGCTATTCATTTTTCAACGCTACGGAATTATTCGATACGCGTTGCTCGCCCCTGGAACCATTTCGACAGGATTAAACATGGATAACTGCGCTATCGAAAAATTACGTTCGAGGGAACGTCGATTTTCGATCGACGAGTTTCGCTTCAATAATAGAATTGGTGCATTGTTGTTGTT